CGTATGCATAAAATGTTTAGGTTTGTTCAGAAAATACTTTTTGTAGCAAGAGGATCGATCGGGCCTCTTTTGGTTATCTTTTTGCGCGGCACTATACGATGTTTTGTTAATTCTCTGTGCTTTTTACAGCTTTCTTCCGGAAATTCTCATATTTGTAATTCTGTTAGATTCAAACCAAGTCTTGATTTTCATGAGTCAAATGGTACAACTTTGTGCTTTCCAAAAGCATTGGTTGTTTTCCCCATTTGTATAGTTCAAGAAAAAACATCAAGCTCTAATCATGAGCTCGTAAACGGTACTGTTATTCTCTCCGTTCACACGCTTAAGCATTTCAAAACTTTTCCTGCTTCCCAGTAACTCTATTCTTGGGAAAGCCATGTATCCATCATCTGCTGTCTCTTTGTTGCAATAAACTGTTCTGAGACGGTCAGCGTGTCTCGAGTCTGTGTGAATCGCAACCTCTATTTCATGGTCCGGCAAGTTCTCCTGCAGAATCAGTACAGATAAAGAAGAAACATCTGATTATTGTGAAACTAAAGGGGTCATAGACTTGCGCATCTAACAACATAAACACATCTGAACGGAGATGGTAATAAATCTTGATATTTTATCACTCATATGCTTATAACCAAGGTCAAGGGATTGATTCTGGAGAATCACTTTCACTTTTCAGAATTCAGACATTTAGGTATCTAAATTTATAAGAAATGACTTGCTCCACCAATACATATAACAACTATAAGGAGATGAATCTAAGGAATCCGCCATTTGAATTGCAGACACATCAAGAAGGTTATACCTGATAAAATCTGTGGATATAGTCTAAGATTTGTAGGCACGTGAAACCATTATCACTGAAATAAGTCCTTGAAGAAGGTCCCATCTCCGAGAATCGATCAGATGGATATAGAATTGTAAGGAAGCTGTCTTTAAATATCACTTCTGTCTTCTCGCTGCACTCCAAAAAAATAGTTGACTACGGTGAGATATTTGTTCAGTTGCAACGATGACAGCATTGGAGAGTAGTAGGCTATCACCGGAAGCAATTTAACTTCTCCTGTGAATTATGCAACATGCAAAACTAAAGAATGAAGAAAAAGAGACGTAAAAAGAGCAACGCGGTACCTCTCGGTAAGTAGTCTGGTTGAGTTTGAAAAAGAAGCCACTGGATCTAACCCTTTATCTTTCCCTTCTTGTAAAACAGAAGCTTGGGGTTCACTGATGTAACCACCGCTGATGCAAGAATCACTAAAAACACTGGCAGTTGAAGCTGCTTCGGATATTGTCCAGCAAATATTCTCCAGCAGGCTGTTCGGTGTTATGCGTCTTATTGGGTTTTGACAAGTCTATGCCATCCAAAAAGAGAAGAAGCTAAATTTCAGACATTATCAGCTGGAAGAAAAGGATTAGTTGAGGTGGAATTTAAACTTTAGGGAGAACAAAAGATTATCAGTTACCTGCATATGGAGTGTGCGCCGTCTCCTAACCCCAGTTTTGGCTATATTTACAATCTCTTTCCTTTCCTGTTTTGATTTACTTATAAACTTAAGAGCATCTTGAGGATTACCTTCCCCGCAAATTTTCTACAAGATTTATACAGAGAAAGCTAGCAACCATTACTCTCCTCACGAAAGATTAAAAGTCATGACAAAGAAACCAGCAAGGCTGAGAAATTACGTGTAAGGATATAGATTGGGAAATAACTTGCAATGACAGCAGAAAATCACACCATATGAAACGATAAAGTACCTTCGTTGTAGCACCATCTTCACAATTTTCAAGCATTAATCCTAACCGTCTGGCTAAATCAGGTGACATGTGAACAAGTCTTTGTCGATATCTCTCCACTGTTTTCAGAACCCACAGTGGCTGATG